CACGCTCTTTCAACCAATGACAGCGCGCGTTATATCCGAACTTTATTATAAATTGCAATAAAGCAACCACTCCCTCACTTGGAATTTTTGCGTCTTTTACCCTTGATGATATTTTCAGAGCCAGTAAGAAGAAAGAGCTTTGTTTTTTATTTATGGAGAACATTTTGTCTCCTGTGGACATTTGTCCTCATTCAGCCTTTAGTTCAGTGAACACCCATCGGCCACATGCATTTGTTCCTTCTCATGAATATTTAAACATTGATGTGGAAAGAAGCCAATATTTTTACTTTTGTATCAAAAAAAATCCCTGTTAAAACGAAGGTAGAAGGTTCTGCAGGATAGAAATATGAATACTAAGAGATGTCACGCAAACACTGAGTTGAACTTTGGGCGCCGGTTAAGTATCAATTAAGTGAAATGTAACTGAGTCATTTGACATTTATAGTCTATTACCTGCATCAGAAGTCGAACACATGTTAGTGGCTGAGTTGCTGTGGTCATAAAAGCGGTCAAAACGAGAGCTCCAGCTGTTGTGCCTTCGTTATCCAAGAGATCTTCCAAGCTTTGCCCACTTCCATTTCTCTCACTTGCAGCCGCCATGTTGAGTTGCTCGCCAGAATGAGGCTGACCGCAAAAAAAAAAATCTTCCTTTTGTTTCAAAGGGAGGGGTAGGGCATTCAAAACTGATATTGAATCTACTTTAAATTTCATATTGTCCATCACCTGTAAATCTCTTTGAAATCGGTGCTTATCGATATTCGACATTCTACATTTACACTCACACTTCCCTACTTTTTCCACCGTGAACATTTTTCTCGTGGTTATCCACCCCACCCCACAGAGGCGTGAGATAAGCAGTGGAACAAAATGGCGGCACAAGTGAAGCAAATGTTACTCACTCTCTCTAGTGCTAGTGGTTCCCATAAGGATATTACCGGAAAATATCGCGAAATTTTGGAGAAGATTTTTAAATTTCAAGAGCCATCTCTCACGGAAGGTCTCAAAACTTTCACTGAAGCTTGTAAGTTTGTTGAACAAAAGTTATTGATAAGATGTCAGCTGCCTTGTAATGGATGAGCGACCAGGAAAAAGGGGTCACATCGTAAAGAGAAGCATGAATATTGCAATTGGAAATCTTTTTTCCTGCCCCCCTCCTCTCCCACAGTAGCTCTAACTTCAGACTTATGTCAAGTGGTTACTCTGTCTCTTCCTTTCCATATCAAAGACTCATCCATCTCAATCTTATGTCATAACCCATCTATTTCAAAAATCTTTTTTACACTCTTATGTTTTCTACCTCTGATCTGTGACATGTGGCCATAACAAGTTCTAAACCTTCTGAGCCACAATGGTTTTGCTTGTTAACATCTTACAATGATTTGTGAAAATGATCATGGGATCAGTTTTAACGAAATTTCAATTTAGCTTAACATGCATGTAAGCACAAAAGTTGAATATGAACCACTACCCTGCCACATTCTTCTGGGTTTTACAATAAATTAACTATATCGTTTTCTCTTATGTTTTGCAGTGGTTCATGAAAATGTAAGCCTTGTTGTATCAAGACAAATTTTAAGTGAACTCTGTAATCATATTCCAAACATGAATGTAGCTTGTGCTAAGCAGGTGTCACATTTTGTGTTGGAAAAATTACAACCAAGAGCTATATCTTTTGAGGAACAGGTTAGGAGAATTTTTCAATTTTTTTTTTCAATTTTTGAAGGAGTGAATCATACTCTAGATTAAATGGCCAGTCCAGCCTATTTTTTGCTTGGGAATAACTGAAGTAGTAGGCAACAGGGTCTTTTGTTTAAACATGTGTCATTATAGACCTAAGATAAGTTGTTATGAAAACACAAAAGCTTGCTGGCCAAATTTTTCAATTTATAGAACATTTTAAAATGTATGACATGACTTTCAGTTTCTTGGGGAAGAACATTGCAGTCTATTTTTTTCCCTGATAAAATTCCATTTACAAAAGGGCAGATATCTGACATTCAATTTAGCATTTCATCACCATGGAAATTATTTGTTTTTCTTTTTTACAGGTTGCAGTAATAAGGAAGCATTTGGCAAAAATATATGAAGATTGTCAGGAATGGCGAGAGGCTGCAAGGGTGCTTACTGGAATTCCTGTGGAGTCAGGGCAAAGGTTTGGTGCACTTGTGTTATTTAGTTTCATGGAGTGTGATAAAATGAAAGCCCAAAGCTGTCATGGAAAATGGCCAATCATACCACTATAGTGTTCTGATAATTATTGCAGGGTAAAAAATTTCAGTTTGCCTCAGTAACTAATGATTTAATGACAATGTTTTTGAAGTTGTGCCTTCCGGATGTGGTCTAATTTTCTGACTGATCATCACATTTTGTGTTAATGTGACTTTTTATGTGATCCAATGCAGGCAATATTCAATAGATTATAAACTGGAAACCTACCTGAAGATTGCACAGTTGTACTTGGAAGATGAAGATCCTGTTCAGGCTGAAGCATACATAAATAGAGCATTAATCCTCCAAGCAGACACAAAGACAGAGAAGCTACAGATACTTTACAAGGTAACTTTCAAACTAAAAAATTTACATTTGATTCTAAACTTGGTGGCTGTGAGATTCCTAATCAATCTTACCCTGTAGAGGTGGTGGCACCATTGTTAGTACAGGAGAATAGTTATGAAAGCCATCATAAATAGAAACTTCAGGTAAAACTCTTTTGTTATATTTAAGTAAAATGATGTGAATGGAATGGATTGGGATGGAATGTTTCTATTGGAAAGTTTTCTCAACATGATTGTGATGTTACTGAATGTTGTTTATGGTCAGATCAAAACACTTGATCAAAATAATTAACAAAGAAATTATAGGGTTTCAAGATCCTCCACAATCTCATGAAAGTTTATACAACTTTAATACTAAGATTCTCTCATCACCTATTGTGTTGCAGGTTTGCTATGCCCGTCTTCTGGACTACAAACGGAAGTTCATTGAAGCTGCACAACGTTATCTTGACCTATCATACAATACTGCAATACATGATGATGAGCGGATGACAGCCCTTAAGCATGCATTGATATGTGCCATCCTTGCTTCAGCTGGTATGCTGTATTGATAGGACATATGTTGTCAGTAATAAACCTTAATTTTCATTTTTAAGCTGTTGAAACATCCTAGTGAAAAACTAGATAAATCATTGCACTGCTGTAATGCACTGAACTTTGGATCAAGAGGTTTGCATTCGGCTCCAGCTGGGTTATTGTGTTGTGTTCTTGCAAAAAACACTGAACTTGTTAAACTCCAAGAGTAACCAACATCTAAAATGCTTTAATTGTTTAACCAATTCTTCTTGTCAGTACCAAAGGAATTGTATGGAGAAGAGAAGAGAAAATGTGGATACTGATTTTGGGGTGTAAAGGATTAACCCTCACAGAGTCTCTGTCCACCTTTGGGTACAAATGAGTGCTTGCCAACTGTCAGGGAAACTCAACAACAAATTGTTCACTTTAGGAGAACTAGCTTAACTCTGCTTTACTTAACAGTACAGGAACCAGGGTAAGCATCTAGGAAGGACTGGGTCAGTTTATTCACATACTGTATCTGTTTTGTATGTTTTCAGGGCAGCAAAGGTCAAGGATGCTAGCAAACCTGTTTAAAGATGAACGTTGTCAGCAGCTACCTGCCTATGGAATTCTTGAAAAAATGTAATAATTTCTAGAAGTAATGTTATATAACAAACCCAATAGACAAGCTTCATTGTGCATCTATTGTCACTGATGAGTTCTTTTTCTCTTCAAGGTATTTAGACAGGATAATTCGAGGACCAGAACTTCATGAGTTTGCTGCCATGTTAATGCCTCATCAAAAGGCAACTACTGCAGATGGTGGGTATTCATACTGAGTACTTATAAAACTTGGTTTATTTTCCTTGTGATTCTTTAGCAAATTCTAAGTTGACCTTAGTGTATTTTTAAGTTGTTTTTTATCTAAATTTGTTTTATTTCTTCTTTTTTTAAGGTTCTAGTATTCTTGACAGGGCTGTTATTGAACATAACTTACTCTCTGCCAGTAAACTCTACAACAACATCACATTTGAAGAACTTGGAGCTTTATTAGAAATACCACCAACCAAGGTAGACTATGTATTCACCTTTAAGTCTAAAGCATTGTTAGTTTCTGTGATAATAGTCAATTTAATTCAATACAATTCTGAAGTACAGTTTGAAACCTTGGTAAGCACTTTTATGATGGTTTGAGAAATCTTGAAAATCATAACCCTTCTGGATGGCACACAGATGGGGTTTTGCTGAAGTCGAAAGATCTCTGATATAGAATCCGAACAGTACTTCAGTGATAATTGGGTGCTCCTCTAGAGCTGGTGAAATCCAACCTAGGTTGGCCACTGTAAAGAGTTTGAAAGCTGACATTTTGAGTGTTTGCCCTTTGTCAGAGCAAATGATGAATGGCTAAAGCTCAAAACATTACATTTGAAACTCTTTATGGTGGCCAATTTGTTTTATCAACCCAGTTGGTAAATACTAAATTCCCTTGTAATAGCATATCCTTGTTTCCATGTCCCGAAGCAATATAATGGATTCTAGCCCATTACATGCTTCTTCAAGCTTTACATTTTAACCCTCTAATTCTAAGAGTGTTTTGAATGTAATTTCTCCATACAGTATCATTCCTGAATTACACATTTAGGTCATGAGAATAAAGGAATCGATCACCAACTAAAGAAACTTGTGACTCTTAAACAGATTCTCCTAGTCAACACCATAGGAAATGTATGTAGAACAGTATGGAGAATATGCACACTGATGCTAAGGGTTAAGGGGAAATTGAAGGAGAAGCTTTTTTTCTAGTTCTAGTGCCCCACCTGCTCTTCTAAATTTTCTCCTTGCATACTTTACATATCTTTACCTTGATGAATAGTCAAGTTAAGCTAGAAGTTTGAACCAGAAGGCGAGGTAGGTATCTTTCTCATTCTAGAAAAAAAATGCCAGCCTCTTTACCTTTTTGGGGTTATGATAACATGGCAAGATGGGATAGCAATATTTTTTGCTCTTTTTTAGGCAGAGAGGATTGCATCACAGATGATTTCTGAAGGACGCATGTCTGGATCTATCGATCAAATTGACGGAGTTGTACATTTTGAAAGTAAGAATCAGCCTTTAATTTTTTATTATTTTTTCTATGCTTGGGTCTGAGGTAGTAACCAAATACATTTAATCATTACCCTTGCCTGGTGGTATTTATTATGAAGAAAGAAAAATTAGAAAGAGAGAGGGGAGGTGTCTAAGCACGAGGAGGCCAGGCACGTACAAATGTGGGAACTCCTCGTCTCGTGTTTGACTCGCGTGTTGGGCAGGCTAGACTGGCATCGTTCTCTGTAGTAGGTCACAAAATGGTCGATTTTGAAAGCTCGATATTGTTTGAACAGATTTGTCTGGGATTGTGCCTTTGCATTTGTACGTTCAGTGGTTTAGGCAGAAGAGAGGTAAAAGGTTTTGAAATTTTTCGTCAGGTTTAAGTAGCGGATTATGGGAAAAGGGAGCGAAATCAGGGTTCATTTTTTGCCGCTAGCCATACCCGTTGAAGTCGTTCTTTATATATCGTTTTCGGCTAGATCCTGTTGTGTAGCTCCTCTGGGAAGAATACTCAGTTCCCCTTGTGTTTTTTTTATTATTATTCTCAGCTCAAGAGGTGCTTCCCTCGTGGGACAGACAAGTTCAAAATCTGTGCTTTCAGGTCAATAACGTGATAGAAAAGATCAACAGTTTTGCACCAGAGTGGGTAGCTAAGTATAATGAATCACAAATGATATCTTGATGAAGTTTTAAGCTACTTGGCAATTGTCAAAAGGACAGAGCAAGCATGCAGAAAGCACATTGGATACCTCCTTTGACGATGTATAGTTCCTTTCCTTAACGTTAAACGTGGAAGAAACTCCTGTGGAATGAGACTTTCCGGAAGTTTGCGATTTCTGGATGACTGCCGTTTGAGTATTAAATCTGAAGAGCTCTTTAATTCCTGAAATAAAAACTTATTTGTTAGAGAATGAATTAACCGTTGTGAATTATTTGGGGACATTATGGTACATTCGCTTTTTTATTTAATCAGGACTGTTTCCACGTTCCAATTAATTGTTCTGGCAACTGCTTTGTTTAGTAAACTGGAGTCATCCCTTCTCCGCTGTCCTTCTCCGGCTTTCTGAATTTGGACGAAATATTCGCCACTAGAGCGTTGTAATTAGGGAGACTCGCGTTCAAAATGATGAATGATGAATTTTTCGTGGACTTGGAAACACTGGTGTACGAACTAAACGCAAGAGAACTAGTTTGACCTGTTCCTGCGGGAAATTGGTTTGGCCTGTCGGCAATGGTTGAGTTCGTTACACAGGTTTCTGAATGAAAACTTAAAATGATAGTTTCCTTGGATAGAAAAACACGAAAGAGACAAGCATGGAGAAGATTGAAAAGAATTGCAAATGATAAACTTAAAAAATTTAAGATACAATAGCTTTGATCCTTTAACCAATCACAACCAAACTGTACAGCATTCATTGTTAGAAAAGCCATACACCTTGATTCTTAGCAACTTCTATCCAAGGGATGAAGAGAGAAATCTGGTAACGAAGGTAAATACCGGTCGACATGGTTATTGCCCTTGACCGTATCACCTGCCCCTCCCCTGCTGCGATGTTTTTTCTCAACTGTTCGCGTGAACACCTAACAACTGAGCATAGTGCGTGGGCGGCTTGAGTTTAGCTACAGGTGATGTGAGTGACATAAAGAGCTTAAGGAAAGTTTAGCAAAAAAATTAATTAGTATCTTTTAATATGAAACGTCCAGAAACTACGTTGTTGATTTGAGTAGAAAGGTACAATATATGCCACAGAAAGAAAGATTCGAGGATCCCTTAGAAATTAGACCATACTTTTGTTTTTTTAACGACTGTTTTCTTACATGCTGGGTCCTCTCCTGTTATGAACTTGGTTTTCTTTCGTTTCAATTTCAATTTAAGACCAAGTACACGATTTTTCATCGCTCAAAGAAATTTTCTTAGGGAACCGTTTCTTTCCCTCAATATTAGATCCTGAAAATGATTTTCCTGATGATTTTCGTTTGGTTAAATAAGGTCTTCAGGGTGTAAATATTGAAAGTCATTTTTCATTTTCCCTGGTTTCTAGGTAGTTGTCATGCCGTCTTTTGTCTCACTCTTTTGTCTTAATTTTAAAATTTAAGCTCTTTTTATTATGCGTATCGAATAGATTTGAATCAGCAGCAAATTAAAGTGGCGTGTGTTGTCTTCTGTTAAGTGATGGCAAATGACATCAATTACAGATTACGTAGGAGAGGATAAAATTTGATATCCATTTCTTTTTCGGATGTGGTTTTTTTCTTTCGACCACGAGCTATGTTTTGTAGTATGGTATTTCAACCGAAATTTTAAAATTGACATTGGCCATTACGGTTTTCGCTTAAAAAATTCCTTGTGCCCCCTAGCTCGAACAGGTCGCGTGTTTGACAGAAAAGCGGGTGGTAATCGGGTGCTAATTATAACTCAAGGTCACGCTATTTAAATCCGTGCTAAATTCAGCGTTTACCTTGCTTCGACGGTGTTTCTAAACGCTCGCTATTACCGACTGAAATTGCTAATTCAAGATTCAATGTTGGAAGGAGAGTCTTCTTTTCGCTGTATTCCAATGTCAAAGATGCAGGGAAAGTGCGATGGTCTTCACAGCCCTCAGAAAAGACGAGAATCTTCATGGTAAGAAAAGAATAATTTATTTCTGTCGCTATTAATGGCAGCACAGCTGATAGAAAGATTAGAGCCACATTTTGCGCTAAATTGTAATCTGTCAAACTTTCTTCCATCAAAACAGTGGCAAAAATCGCAATACACTGATTTTACGACCGTTATTAATCCATTTAGTTTTGAACATAAGGAGATGTGGCGGTGCAATACGCCCACTGTATTTTAAACTTTTGTAACCTTACAAATAAATTGTGCGACGTGCAAGTGCCGTCTGAAAGCCTTTTTCCTATTATTCGATCATACTACTCTGACGTTTCTTCGTCACTATTGCGACAAAGGAGATTTCAACCCTTTCGCACTACACAGAATTATGTACAAATATTGCCTTGATACCAGCTGTATCTAAACACACGATAGAAATGTGACGGAAAGTTACTTGAGTTAGTAAGAACCCTCCTGAAACAGTGAATGATCACACATGTTAACTTCTCAGTCTTCTGATACGAAATTTGCTTTTCTGATGTCGAAGCAACTTTTTTCCTTTTTTTAATTTTTTTTTTCAACTGAACTTGAACTGGATGTTATTATATTCCTCGGTATTCCTTGTATTTGAACACGGCAGGAAACAGCACCTGACTTGTGGTTTTATAGACATGATAATCGCTTCAAAGAGAAGCCGCCTTATACTGCCTTTGTTCGCATTCAAACAACCAGGAGGGTGAAAGGTTCAGAATTAACGTATGACACAAATAAATAGTGGACTTGTAAAAGAGAGATAGATATCAAAATGGTTAGTTAAGAGATTTGCTGGCGGGGAAGTAAATGAAAGACAAAACAAAGTAGATTTGTATATGTTTAGTTTTATTATTATAGTTAATATTATTATTATTATAGTTATTATTATTATTATTATTATTATTATTATTATTATTGATATTTATATGTTTGATTCTAGAGTTAGGAGTCTTCTGGTTAAGAATTCGTTCCAATTTCTGTTTTTTAATGACTTATCTTGTTATGGTCCGTTTGCTACAGACAACTCTCTGAGTAGGGCGCTTATTTTATCATGGTTTCATAAACTTTAAGGTCGTTGATAAGTTAGTCGCAATTTTCGTTTTTAAAACTCTCCAAAAGGCTGTTTAATTTTGAAATTATCATCCATAGTGGTTATTAGGTTTATAAATTCATATTTACCCGTCATTATAGACATAATTGAGTTTTTAATAGCTCCTGAATTTCATTTCGTAAATTACTGCTTTAGCTAAGATGAATACCCTTCAAAATAAAAACAGACATTAGTTTATATTGAAATGTAGTTGCTTACACATACAGCTTGATGCCACGGGGTTACTCATACAAAAGTTTTTTAGAGTTCATTTAACTGAAACCTTCCAGAGTTTTCTTGCATATCATTAGTTGCTTGCTGAGACATGATTTAGAGGGATAAAAGGGAGTGGGTCCACAGGATTGAAGACCGGAAAAGAAGACACAACGGACATCGAGCCTAAAGCAAGCAGGTCTTGTTGTCAGCTGCTAGAAGCGCAATGTACATGTACAAGTTGTAATTAGTCTTGTGATCGTTAAAAGACTTTAGGAGGTGCAACAAGGGGGACTCCCTCTGATTGAAAATTCGGGTTTAGGGAGAGGACACAAGTTCACACAACACCCACAAGGGTAGGTGTGGAATCGAAAATATTTCTTGCGTGTCAGAAAATATGACATCGCTGCCGGAATAAGGATCTAGCAGCGGAAGTATTTCAACTTCTTTACACTGAGAACAGAGAGGAAAGTTTGCAATTTAATATTTCGTTTACTACATCAAAACCGTTTCCTATCAAATTCAACATGTCGTCATCATACGAGAACCGTGACTAAGTCCCAGTCGTTTGTTAAATGTGCGCGACCATACAATCAATGGATCAAAGGGATGATGAGAAAGAAGAGGAGCTGGGGTCTTCTGAACCTCTCTTATTTTCTCCCTTCCCATCAAACTGCTTGTTACATCCTGCCGGTTATGAGGAGGACTATGGAAAAGTTAGTAACAACCCAGCTAGTATTTGGCCTAATTCTCTCTTGAGTTTTCTGTAGCTCAATGGTAAGGCGCCAGCCGCGCAATCGGTCTGCTGTGGAATACGTTGAGAGTGTTAGATCTTTTGTGCCATACCTGTCACAGATGTCTAACTTCATGATCATCTCTAACTTTTGGTGAATTTGGCTGAGTAGTGAAATTTGACTGAATTCAACAAAATTTAACCTACCATACTAGAACAACAATACCACATTGAAACTAGTGAGACACTTTTTGGGGCTAACTATGTTCGCTAAATATGTTCGATAGGGTCAGAACACTCCGCCCTAAAAGAAATAGCTTTATGTGGCTTCTGTTGTCTCAAAGACAAAAAGATAGTTCATAAAAGTGCGATTTACGTTCGAGTGCTCACGACATCATGCCCTAGATATGTCTGTGTATTTATCGACAAGGTGATTAGGCATATGTCCTGTAGTGCAGGGCAGATTAAAAGTAGTCACGTGGGAAACATCTTACGCAAGCGTAGACGTAGAGGGACCTTGGTTGTGTAACCATTTTAGTGAGCGTAATGTAAAGAGAACAAATCCGGCGAAGGACCTCGTGCGTGATAAACGCAACACGCGCCATCTATAAACACTAAGGATCGAAACTCGTCACGTGCAAAAGTTATTTGCGCAAGCGTAGACGCGCAGGATTTATGCGGCAGCTGGTACCGTGGTCGTTTCAATGTTTCATGAGTTCAGGAGAGGAAAGATAAACCGAATTGGACAGCTGCGACGCGCAAACTTTTCACACGAAAGGATAGGGTTTTTTTTTCGCTATGCTTAGGGTCGTTATTCGATTACTTCCAAGTTCGATCTATGGGGTATTTCATGATTGAAGGTATATGTGAAAAAAAAGGCGTTTGAATTTACAAATTGTCCGTGTTACTTAGACTTGGAATATCTTACCAATTCCCTAATAAATTAACGAATTTATCGGAGGGTCGCAAGATGTCTGAAAGTGACAGTTCATTTGAAACATGGTACTTTGTGAAGAAATCAGTCAAAATAAAGATGTACATCGTGTAATAGCTAAATTATTAGATATCCATTTTCGCTATCGTTTTGTCGCTGAAAAGAGTACAAATGTAGGCAAGCCGATGTGTTAGTCGTAGACAATATCTCCTGGCCCTTACCTGCCGGCAATTATATAAGTGGTATTTGTAATAAGTTAGATACACCGGGGTAGACTAACAAAATACCAGATACAGATCAAGCACCAAGTCTTAGAAGGACAGAACTGAAATTAAAAAAAGAAAAAAAAGAAAAATGAACGTTTCCGAAAGCGTAGCATATTCTGACATTTTCTTTAATGTGCAGTACTATAATTATTTATTTTTTTTTTTACTGTTTTCCTGTTTCAATATGCTCGAGTAATCCCCTCTCCAAAAATACTTCAATAGTTCTTCTTGTTAATTGCAGCTGAAAAGCACTGAGGTACACGCAATTTCAATGTTGCTTTAGGAACACAATGTGCAATCATATATTCAAGGATCAATTCACAGCTAAACGAAAGGGGCTTTCAAGTGGATTATCATATTAATATTCATAACAACTGCTGCCTCGGCGAGAGTGTTTCTCGCACGCAACGTGAAACTTTCGTTTAAATCTTTCTTTTTCAATTCATGTGACCCTCCAAAAAGTTGAATTTATTATTTCCCTGGACTTTTGCAAGTTGAGAAAACCTTAGCACTGAATCCTGTGCCATACTACGGAAGAAAAGTTACCACACCTAGAACTAAATATAACTATTATTGTTTGGACATGTCCGACCAGATTCCTGGTGGAACTTCTTTCTCACTCCCTGAAACAGCGTGGCTTAATCAGTTATGATCTGGTTACTTTTTTTCACGAAGTCACTCCACTCTTACCAACACGGAAAGTTGACGATTCCTCGTTTTTTTATTGTAATATGTGTTATGAAGGTACAACCATATGCCTACGCCACAGACAGACGAGTGATAAAATAAAACAAAAGGTTCGCATCGTCTAAAAACTAATCCTTTGTTTGCCACGTCAGTTTTTCAAGAAATCGCTAATAAATTATATTAGATGCAGTGGTTGTCAAGAAGTGTTAACCCCAACCCTCTCTAGAAAAAAATAACTATTTCGAAATCGTTAAAAAGAAGGGCATCGAGAAATTTACCATTCGAAACGCCCGCACTACTCCCTGTAGTACGCTCAAATCAACGTTGTGTTTTTCAACATGGCGGGTTTTCTCGGCCCGAACCGTGGAAAATTATTTTTCTAAACTCTGAGAAGTAACAGAGTAATATCAATTGAGCTTCTTCACGATTATGATTATATTCTTCCAGTCCGGCGAATTCGCTAGCTCGTTGTAGAGGAGACGATCACGCTCAAGGTTCCATGATAATTCCCTGGCACAAGTTTCTTTTGTATCGTCCACCAAAGGATATTGCATTGTCTGGAAAGTTCACGCCTTTCTGGAATCCTGTTTTAAAATGACAGCGTGAACTGGCGATTGCGTGAACTTTTTGTTACGTAATAACATCGCATGACAATTTCCTTTTTGTTTAAGAGAGGGCCAAAACTTTATCCTGGCTCAATTCTGCGATTTTAAGTACCTTAGAAAGACTAAATATGTTTAAAGTCTGCATAAAGGCTCGTTTGAATGACGAATTTTTGACAGACTTTCTCTTTTTTAAAACCCACTGCGTCATTTGCGTGACATTCGCCTGAGGTGGCGTGACAAGACGCTTCCAGATGACCCTTCATGTCAAGATCTTTATGAAATAAAAGAACAACGTATCGTGTTCGCGATATCAACCAAGATTTAATCGTATTTTATGTGGGTATATTGAATGCGTAGAATTTTCTTCTTCGTCTGTTCGCAATACTCGCAGCGATATTGCACAAGGGAGGTAACACAACACTTAGTCGTGTATTCTTTGATCTCTATCGCATTGCAACCACAATAAAATTTGGGACAAAAATGAATAGGGAATGAGTTTTTGGCATTGCGTTTTGTCTGTTATTGATTCAACACTTCTGGTTAGTCACGTAACAACGCTCTGTGGTGACGCTTTTTACCTCTACAAAAAAATTAACAACAAAGATAGCCAACCTCTACAATGAGCAAGTAGTACAATAAATGTGCCTCGTAGCGTCTCGTGAGCTCTTAAAAAAAATCATTCTGAAGAAATATAATTAGCATCGCGTCTCACGTTTTAAACTCCAATTTGACGTCGAAACGATAAAATTTCATCTTCATAAACCTTTTGTCTGGAAAAACAAGCTCGTTTGACAAATTCCAGAGTCGAGTTTTGCGGATGAGTGACTTAATGGCCGTTCAACATTCAGCGTGACTAAAAACATGACCACTGGTCGAGCCAAAATACAATGGCAAACCATTCGGATGTGACGAGATTTTTCCTTCGCTTTCCTTTCACATGCAAATTTTGGGGATTGTTATACCGGCGGCAAATCGTAAATATTGCATAAATTATCTGGGTCGTCTTAAAACAAACCAATTATCATGTCTGTTTCACGTGCTCAGCCAATCGCATCGTTTCTTTTCCTAACCCTAGTCAGTTGCTGGCCTTGATCAATACCAGCTCGGTACAATGTGCATGTCAATCATTTTACTGTGGGGTCGCGGAATCGGGTCTACTCAAACCCATAACTTGACGTTTCTCAGCTTTTTGAGATTCTAAAGTCTTCAAAATTAATTTTTTCAACGGCGACTTTCTCATTGAGACGGTCCTTTTCCGTGTGTATCGGGTCGTGACTTGAACGAACGAATTCTCGCTGGTTTCATTACGTGAAATCATTTATAAGCTTCAATGGCTGGCCGCGTAGTGTCTCGCGAATTCACCATCGACAGTTTGGATTTTACCTTGTACTAAAGGAAACAACTGTACACTAGTCATCCTGGCGGACTCAGAATTAATGGATGTAAACGCTAACAGTAAGCTTAAGCGGAAGAAGAAAACCCATGGGTTAGTATCGTGAGCTGTTTGTTGGTTGGTGTTTCGTGTCGGTGTGAGAATCGTGAGGTGGAAAACGCTCGATTGTCCGACTTGAGCCTGGACATGGTGTGATGTTTGTGTGGAGTATTCTCACCTGAAGTTAGACCGTGGTTTCGTGAAAATCGTTTTCCTTGTACATAGAAAAGAAAGTCTTCATCAAATTTTAGATAGACTTCCCTAAATTCTGGTTTTTGATTCGTATTTTCAGGCCTGGTAACCCGTCGAAACGACATAGAGATCGACTTAACGCCGAGCTGGATAACCTCGCGAGGTTGCTGCCGTTTCCTGAGGAAATCGTCACGAAACTGGATAAAATATCTATTCTCAGACTTACAGTGAGCTATTTGAGGGCGAAGAGTTTCTTTCAAGGTAGTAAATGTTTTACATGTATTCTTTTCTCGATATGCTTGTTGGTTTTACCTGCGTAGTTATTTTTTTCTTAATCGCGAGACATGGTGGTGTTAGATGCTAACCATAAATTATTTTCTTGGGTTTGTTGATTTGAATATCGTAAACTGTTCAACCCGAACAGTTCTAAATGTCCCTGCCTGTAATGACATTTTAAATCAGTAATTTACTCGTAGTCAGTAGACGTAACTTTATACGTGGTTCGTATACGTTTGGGGGCATTTGATTAACGATGGATATTTTTTAAGTCGCGTTATCCGAACTAGGACCTTGACTGTTTACCAAACGTGGGCCATAAATTGCGTTGCTGTATTCAAACGTAAACAGAACTTTGACGGAAGAGGATCTCCTTAAGCTTTTTGATTATTTTACAAGACTAGAGGGCAGAAAGGTCATCCGTGATTGCCCTATTATGAACCTTATTTCTTTGGTGTAGAATCAGTAAGTACGCACACGAGTTTCAGCGAGTACAACAACTTCATTCGTGAGGTTGGCGAACAACTTATTACTGCTGCTGCGTTTCCCAAAGCACACGAATTCCAGCTGCATCAAATAAAGAAAGCATTGTTTGGATATAAGTCTGACAGAAAGTAGACTACTTACGCACTTCGAGAGGGTTTCAGGCGAGTCTGAATAAGGCAGTGATAACATGTTTTCGCCATTGAAATTTACCACGTAAAAACTCACAAATGTGATTTCAGTAAGGTTCGTCGTTCAAAGCGCGTAAGTGTTTGGCTTTCGCGGAATTTAAGTCAAAACAACATAGGCAATAGCATTTAGGTCGCATTGAGTGTAACCATCGCTTGACAGTGATGTCTGACAAACATAAGATCGTCGCATTATGGCCATTTTCCGTTGTCTTACCCGACAGACGGTGTGAAAATCTATTTCTCGCGGTTCGTCGACTTTATCTTGGTTTGAAAATTTCATATTTCTTCTCATTAAAATTATTTGTTTGTACAACAACTTCACAAAAGGGCAAAGAACAGAATTGACCAAAATCTATTGATATGGTTGTTTGTTTTCAGGCGCGACGGCTTCCAATGCCCATGTTGAAATAAGCCGTACAGCTAGTTGTGTTCTTCTGCGAAAATTTAATCAACCAGAATTTGCCATGTTAAGCCAAAAACGATACATGCATGAAGTAAATCCGCATGCAAAAGTCAGATAAAACCCTTTGGGTAGGTATCATCTCCTGCGTGAGCACTTTAAAGCGGAGAATGGCGTTGTTGTGTTTATCGGGAATTTTTTGAACGCAGGTCTGGCCGATTCACACCTTTTACATTATAAAATGCAATAGATGTAAACCCTCGGTCACGCAGTCTACTAAAGCGAAATATTTATCAACTTGGCTCACGCAACGAAAAATTTGCGAAGAAGGAAAAACATAATTACTTTATGCGATGCTTAGCTTCCACTTCGTTCACGGGACAGTACCTACAGGTTCTCTGAGCAAACCGGTCAGCGTTGCGTGTCCGTCGATCAGAGGGTGATCATAAATGATAAATGGTCCTTTTCCCTTTGGCGTTCTTGGTTTTTGTTTGAATGGAATAATCGCCATGGGATAGCTTTCTTTGCGGAATTCGTTACCCTTGACCTAGACAATTCCTATGTAGCAAATTGTTTACTTTTTTTGGTATTCAAATAATCACTACTTCTACAGTCGAGGTTAGTTTTGTGGATTTACCCCGCGGGCGGTATTTAGTTTTATGCTCCTTATTGCAAGTCGCTGGTCTCAAATATATCTGATCTTGAAATTCCTGGATGTTGGTGTGATGAAGAAAATTGTTTCGTTTAAAGCGTATCCTTGGATGAACGGACACATCGTTCAGTACTCACTTCTTCTGCAAACGCCCCGTGGAAAACGAATAGCCTCGGCCTTAATTTATGTACGTTTGGGGTGTCCAATAAAAGCCGTTGTTTCCCGATGTGCGAAATCCTTAAGACTAGCGTTTCACACGAAACCTAAAAAATTCGTCTTGGCGCGGCGGAAATTTTAGCTCACTCTCCTTTATTGTGATATGGCTTGTAGGAGACATTATCGTTTCTCAGGGCATATTCACATTTTTGCACATATTTTTTCCCTCGATTCCCAGAAGCACAATTGTTTTAAAGGCGTATAATAATGATTGCGTTTTGTCGAAGTTATGGCTTTATTTGTTTTGATTTATAACCTCTTTCTCTGCGATCGTGAATTTTTGGCAGATATCGCAATGACCACTCTCTATCAAAATGTCGTGTGTTGGTAATGCCATTCACAGTTAGGATTCAAATGAAACGCTGTAACAACTCGCTGTCTGAAATTCTATCAGAAAATTCTCTCAGTAGGTAACAAAATTCCTCAAAATATATGAATTGTCTTCAAAACATCAAGAAGCTTGTGAAAATTTTAACTAAGGAAGGACTATCTTTTAAATTCCGTGTTCGGGTTTTTGCAAAGCGACCAGTATATTGATTGCATGACGTTTGATGTACTGTACACGTATTGAAAGAAAATTATCGCTTTGTTTTTATGCGAAGCTGAATTTTGTAAAGCGGCTGAATTTTCATTTTTGTGTGGTGAAAACAGTGCCATTAGGTTTAGTTGTTTCATGCCCCTATAGTTATTCCTTAATCCAATCGTCTCAACTGAGATGTTTTTCAAATTCTGCTAAATAATTTCCGCGGAAAATTGCCTTATGGTGCGATTTTCACACAAACAAGCATCTCATTTACAAGTGAAACCATTATCGTTTTCTTTGCTCAAAATGTCCTTCAAATTTGAATATGAACAGTAAAGCGATTTCTTTACCTTGGCTCTTTTTATTGGAGGGTCTTTTTTTATAGAGGCTTTCTAGAGATGTCTACAGAAGCGTAATCCTTGTAACTAAATACATACACTCTAGAACTTCTGTCCAGAAATGAGTGGCTGTTTACAGGCTTAAACATTGTAATGGAATTAATAAAGACCTTGCATTTTTGTAGTTTCTAATGGCAGACATGGGCAAGAAGAAACTTGCGAAGAACTAGTCAGAGAGGTTGAGGGAAATGGTGTCTTCTCCCAGCTGTCTCTAGAGGTAAGTACAATAGCCATGGTTTCATACCCTCAGGCAGTTGCATTTTACCTCGTATATAATTTTTAAGGCTATAGGTCACATAGTTTTGCATGCTTGGCTTTACACTCCACTGAAAAAAAAAATTAACAAAGAAAACAGGAATCAAAGGTGGAAAATGTCTGGCAATTAATTAATCTTATAACTTAATTTCCTTTTAGGGTGAATATTCTTTTATATATCGTCTTCAACAGTAGTTAAAATTTTTTGCACATCACTGAGTCCATTTATTTAGCATTGTTTTGTGACTGACCCTTTGCCCTGTAAATATCCTTTGTGATCAACACTACTTCATATCAGATCTGTGGGGAAAATTTTAAAATCTGTATTCTACTAGATTAATAAATAACAACAATTTGCTAAAATCTGGTCTGTTATTTATAACTCTTCTCTTGATTGAAGGGCAAACTAGCAGCATTATCTAATGTTAGATTCAGTTCTGTGTCTTTTTTGTGGGAACTAAAATGCTGGGGCACTGATTTAATTTTTGTAATCAAGCAATTAATTTGGGTGAAAACCACAAGATGAAAACAGGCTCTTTGTACATAGGTTTCCTTTTTTGCCAAGAAACAATTATTATAATTTGATAGTGGGAAATTACTGCTTTATTCATTTGGTGTTCATCTAAGTAAGGTTAAATCATTGGCAATTTGATAGCAGTCATCATGTTAACTATTCACATTTGACCCTGAGACTAGATGGCAAAGGTGTGGAAATTTGATGTCTACGTTTTGTTTCCTGGTGCTTCCGAACCCAGATTGTTACACATTATAACAGAGAACAAGATAGCAAAACATCTAAATAAGTTTTTCAAACTTGAAAATGAGTAAAGAGGATTTTTAAATCATGGCCACTTTAAATCCTTTATTTCGAATCTGTGATTCAGACTGGAAATTTTTTTTTTGTGTACATTGTCAAGCTTTCAATGAAATTTATGTCTTCAAGCTAAGCTACTGTGTTTCAAGTCCATCCTGTTTTCAGGAAAAAAACGACAGTTTCTTGCATTTATTTGTTTTCCAAGGTGTTAATGGTTATCAGCCTGTTATGTTCATCGATCCATATCAGGTTTAAAACCAGGACTGTTCTATTTAGAGTCAAAAGCCCAGGCCATTTGACAATAGAATGTGTGCCACACCTTCTCTTAGTCAGTTTTTTGTTTGTATGCCAAATTCTCTGACCAATGCAATTCAGCTATTGACGGCTTATCATGGCAAGATGAAGATGGAAAGCTTTAAACTTGATGGGAGTTTTCAATTTACTTGTATTAGAATTGAATAAATGAAATGACAGTTTACCAGGTGGCTTTAGACCACCTTTTATCGTTTGGAACAACATTTCATGGTGACTGAAAGATCCTTAATTATTTAGTACGTCTGGTTTTGGTTTTTTTAATTTTTTTTTTTTTAAGGTAGCAAAGTTGGGAGATAATAAGGAAAGCATGAAAATAAAAATGTCTAGCTTTCTATATTTTTGCTTGTTATATAAATGTTTTTTATTGTGTCCATTGTCTCAATGTTGGTGAAAATATAAATCATATTAAAAATCTGGCTACTTGTCTGATGGAAAGGGCCACCAGTGTTTCCCATGTTTTGACTTAAGCTTTTGCATGACTAGTCAAGGGTGATATGAAAAGCATAATATCTTTTCTAAATTGAAGCTGAGTGTTTTTTACCTAAGTAGCTCATGGGAAAAATGCATAGCTTTTTCTAGATGTGTTTTTTCGGGATGTGGATGGGGAGATTATGGGACCATTTTCTGGATATCACCTGGTTGTGGAATTCCTGTCTTCTTTACCCACTCTTTTGATAATGATTTTATTTTTTCCCTTCAAATTGACTTCAACTATCTTGAATGGGCAGGTAGAAAAAATTCATTGTATCTGTGTCTCATTTTTTCCCCACTTCCTTTTGTATTAAATAACACACATAGTGCCTTATTTTCAATGCTCTGACATTTTTATTAGACACGCATACTCAGTCACAGTTGCAGCCACATGACTGCCACATGTAGCCAACTCTTGATTTTTAATCCTCAAGAGTTGAAGGGGAAGACTACAAGCACACGAAAAGAATAGGCAGATAAAGTATTTTGATTTTTGATGAAAGAACTCTCTTTTCCTTCAATTCAATTCCACAATAGAAATCATGTTTCTTAAAGGGATTCATATAAAGTCTAGTTTATAGCAAGAGGGGGGTATGCGGTAAGTTGTCTTTGACCCCCTCCTTGCCTGGCAAAAAGGTGTGATGCATAATAATGATAAAGCAAGAAGCATACCCCATTGGCAAATAAGATGAACCCCCCCCCCCCTCCTCCTTCTAGGAGAGTGGAGAGTAATTTTTCCTTTTTAATATCAACACAATATTGAGCAGATGGCTGATGAGAATTAAAAAAATCAGCTAGAAGAAATTATTTGATTCAAGAACAAGTTCTCAGAACTAACTTTATAAGAAATGTACAGCAGACAGTTAAGGAAATTATGATAGAGGCTGTGGGAGTGAAAGGGCCTACAGCTGATGGGTTGTTTTTTTCTTAATAGCTTCATAATCCCAAACATGGTGTTTTCCTTTATAGGCTCTGGATGGATTTATTGCTGTGATAACACAAGAAGGGCAGTTGTTTTACGTGTCTGAGAATGTTAGGGACTTTTTGGGTTATTCACAGGTGACCAGACTTGTATTTTGTGTTATCTCTGTTTAGCTTATTGCATTGAGCACTTCAAATTTCTTCTTGCTAGGCCTTGATAAAGAGTATTGTAATGTGATTTTGTTTGCTGACTGTATAGTTCTAGCTAGAGGCCAAAGTAGAAAAAATGGTTTTTTTTTGAGACTTAGTTTGTTGATCATATGTCCAAATTGCTCTTCCAATGTTTTCATTGGCTAACAGGTCCTTTGATGTTAATTGCAACTTTTAACCATGTACTCTGCATCACAGCTCCAGCATGTAATAAATATCCTTTAATCACGCAGAGCTTCTCAGCGTATTGTAATGTAATGCTTAGGTGCTTTATTTTGTTTGTTTCTGAAGAACTTCACCTTTTGATTGGAAGCTTACATGTACTAGTGACCCATCTAATACCCTTACTCTACATTTTATTGACCGCATGGTAATTTTGTTGCAGGCTGCTGTTATTCACCAAAGCATGTTCAAATTTCTACACATTGATGATCAGGATATGGTGAAAAGTAATCTAGCTTGGCCAAAGCCAAATGGGAAAAAGACAAAAACAGTAAGTGCATGTGAAGTTAACTACAGGATGTGTCTCTTGTGAAAGGGTCAGCCTATATATATATGATGTAATTAATCAGCTTTTGATTCATCATTACTGATATTGTGGGACTAGGACATTTTAAGTATAGGTGTTTGTACCTACTGGAATTCATAAGCATCAGTTTTTATTCCATTTTTACTAACGTTGTAGAGTTAGATGTTGATTGAGAATGTTTTACTATTGCAGCAAGCAGATGAAAAAGATGGAGGAAAATTAAGTCTGAGTAGCGTTAAAACAGGTATTTTTCGTAAATATTGAGGAGTTTTTAACAGATGTTATTGAAGATATAGTAGACACTAGAAGAACACATATATATGATGTTTTGTTTCCTTCATTCTTGTGAAGGTTCTGATGAGAATGACAGTTTGAACCGCTCATTTACCTGCCGGATGAAGTGTACTTTGAATCATGGTGGTGGATTTTACAAGGTAACTATCTTATTGGTCATAAATGCTAGTTAGAGAGGAATTTATACAAAAGGAAAGAGGATCTGGCAACAAGCAAACTTGTACTCTTTGCTACTAAGAGGCTCTGTCATCCCTTGATCTGAGGAATTGAAATCTCTGTAGGATCATCACCTTTGTGGTCTCATCTGTGTATCTCCTTGTATTTAAGTTTGGTTTTGGATAACAAAACTCTGATTGGTGGCAATAAAGAGGGTGGCAAAGGGTTTTTGTGTGATGCATGATGGCCCCAAAATTTGCAGGGTGTCACGTGATTGAACCCAAATTATCCACATGACATGGGACCGGATATTACAACATGATGCGTGATTTGCTATTTTACAAGCACATGACATGTGATACATACTAATTAGATTTTCGAGATAAGTGAATGCTCTTTGACATGGAAGGATACCGATCATTTATAGTAAATAGAGTCTTAACAGAGATTAATATCCTGTGGCAGCAGTAACTCTGTTTTCTGGTCTCTTTCGACCTTTGCTTGACCTTTGATCTGCATGTTAGGTCCAAACAATTGTAACACAATAGGCATAAGTTAGTACAGTTAACATTTCTACAAGGACTATGACCTTAAGTGCTATTTTTGTCGACTGCCTGGTTGTGGTAGTGTATCAGATTGTCCAGAAAGACTAGAAAGTATTCAAATCCATTGAATGAAAGATCTGAAAGAATGTTGACACAAACAACCCAAACGGCTGAAATGGTAAAATACGTTAGAGTTTTGGTTCATTTTATTCCATGCAAGAAGAAGGTAATGTAAGCAATGAGCCAGTACACAAGGAAAAATTTTGTTTACCAGTTAGTGGTACACAAAATTTTTCCAAGGTCATTATATAGAGACCTAAACAAATTCAAATGTCTCATTATATCCTTTACTGACATAAAGAAAGCACAGTACAGAAGGAGATTGGGCAAAACTTATACATAAATATTGCCCAAGTATCAAAGAATAGTAAATGTGGGGTAGACTTCTACTCAATTGAATGCAAATTAAAAGATAGCCAAATTAGCAAAGTTCATACTAGTTCTTAAACACCAAACTTTAATGATTATGATGCCATGATGAACACCTCAGATGTTGAATTGAAAAATAAAAAATCTTTGTGAACAGAACTTCGAAGATGAGGCAAACAGTAAGCTATTGGATGAAAAGGATATTCAACGAAGCAACTTGAATAAGCTTAACTCTTGTGCTAAATATTCTAATTCTTGAACTTGTTTTTACTGTGTTTGATACTTGTATGTACAATTACGTAAGCCTGAGTAAACACTCTTGGAATGTCTAGTTTCAACTAGTAAGTCATCTTTATTTGTCTAACGAAAAGCAATATGCAAAATGCTGTACTACAATGGCAAATAAAGAAATGCACTCTTCCTTAAGTCACAGATTTTCTTGCAAAGCCTTTTTTTTCTGATTCAACTAGCCAATTGAAACAGATGCACTAAATCAAAGCCTAAAATCTTATATTTTTTTCTACCAGCACTGTCTCTAAATTTACTTTGTGGTGTTCATAGAAAGTAATTAAGGTACTGGTTTGTAAAGTACTCAAGACATTATAAGTGGGCAAGTAAGCATTATTAGTGAAGTGCGAGTTTTGTATTGTTATGTATTTTAAGTCATGTCCTGTTTAGTACTGTAATGTAAGTAACATTACGCTGTAAGTGATTATTAGTAAGTGACCGTTTGTATAAGTAAGAAATAAGTACTGGTAACTAATCCATTTAGTACAGTAATGTAATAAGTAGAGTGATGTTGAGTAATGTAAGTAGAGTAATTTGTAATGTAAGTTTAGTTCTGTACAAATGTTTCTTCAATAAATGTTTATTAAATTAAATATATATATATGACAAGTGAAACACAATTCATTCCAGGACAAAAAACTTTGTATGCAATCTAATTTTCAATAGTACAACTGATATGTTGATATATTGCAGTACTTACTTCTTTTTACAGGACATGTGATTGGTTAAAAAAATTTTTTGTGATGTGTGATTTAATACAAAAATTCATTGTGAAGTGCAATTGGAACCCCCCTTTGCCACCCTCAATAAAAATCTTGATTGGGGTTTGAAAAGTGCAATAACATGGTTGGTTTTTAATGGCAAGTTGTTGACACCAATAGTCCATGTTGATAATGGAATTAATGGATGTATTGTTTGATTTTTTTTCCTCACAGCCTTTCAGTTTTCTTAGTGTACTGCTTGTTTAAAGTCCCTGTTATTTCAAGTGTGTTAAAGCAATGTTGTAAAGGAGTACATGCTCTGATCCCATTTGTTAACTCCTGATGTGAGAACTTTTATTGCCCTTTATCTTCCAAGTATGCCTGTCACTCACCGAGCACATTGTCTTTCAGCTTTTCAGATTATCAGGCAGATTGAGGGAAATCCACACTCGTAAACGAGACAGTCAGGTGGTGGAGTATGGCCTTTTTGCCATCTGCTCACCAGCAAACAATCCAAATTCTCATCATGCAGGTGTGAATATTAAGAAAGAGGTTGCCTTGACTGCTCAGAAGAGATTGGAAAGATCTAACAGTGACCCAGTTTGTGTAAGGTATGAAGCCTGGTGTTGAGCTGTGTTTTGTCGCGGGTAGACTTTTCTGTTCAACCAAAATGCTGGAGAATAGTCACAGTGAACACACTAAACACTCAGAGAATTTCTTCTTTTAATTCTGAAAGTCACTGGCTAAGGGAAATTGATATGTTTCAATTGGTAATTAAGTTGTTGTACCTGAAATTTGGACACATCAATTCCCCTTGCCCATCATATAGAGTGAGCTGCTGATACTACATCTTTCCATCAACCAATACAATTACTGCTTCCTTATTGTTGACCTCCTATTCTTTTTGTCTTTTCTCCTTGTTTATTTTTAGGAGAACTGGTCTTCCTTTGACTGGAATGTTACATTCCATGCCCATCAGCCGTCACTTTTCAATGTCTGAAAATCGTTCTGCGGCTGTCAGTCCACTGGCATCACCTACAACTTCTACTGACTCTGGTCACCCTTCTCCAGACTCTAGCCAAGGAGGAAAGATGTTACTGACAGATTCAGATGTACGTAGTGATGGCAGTGAGGTTTCTCCACCATCAAGCAGCAACTCTCAAGATGTTGAGGGAAGGCCAGCCTCAGAACGTCTTATGTCTGGTATAAACAACCCATTTGTAAATCCCCACAGGATTGATCGGAAACGAGCTGCTGCTTTTATGGATTCTATGATGGCTGAAGACAAAGATCCCACAAGGAAACGTTCTCGCAGCTTGGCAGATGCTGAATTGTTCTTACGAGATGGCATAGACCACAGATCTTTGTTCTTCAGAAATAACCTGCCCACTGTTCCTGAAGTGAAAGTAGAAAATGGTAAGAAGAAAGAGGAATGTACCCAGTCTTCTGATGTGCCTGGTAGGAGACTATTAAACAACCATGACAGTAGACTTGATGCAGCTCAGGGTCTTGTGAATCTTGGAAACATGGCTTCCCAGTTTCCTGGACTTTGTGCTTTTCCACCTGAATTGATGTATCCTGATGTCATGTTTCCACGTGTTGATATGCTTCATGATCTGCAGCACTTAAGGAATCCTTTTGACATTCACAATCCCTACTGTCTAGGAAGTGATCCCTACACAGCTGCTTTGGCTATGAGGAGATGGCTCAATAATCCTGACATGTTCCGTTCTCAGCTGAACCCACTGTTGGCTGCCCAATCAGGGCTCCTGAGCCCAGCTGAGAGGCTGCGCTTTCTTAAGTTTCCATTTGGTTACCCCTCTCCATTTTCCAGTCCATCACCCTTTGATTTTAGTGCTGCTGCTGCTGCTGCAGGGCTGACAGAAAGGAACCTGCCTGAGTATGCCTTTAGGAGCCTCTACCAGAATGGCCTGGTTCCTGATATGGCCAGGAGTAGTGCTTTAAAAGAAACAGAGCAGAAGCAGACTTCATTCACAGAGAAACAGGCCAGAGAAGGGAGCTCCTCTCCACCAAGTAAAACACCTAGCAAATCAGCAACCCCTGATAATTCCAAGAAGAGTGAAGTAGAAAATGGAAAAGAGAAAAAAGAGGAAAGTGATATGGATGAATTCTTTGAAGAGAAGAAAAAGTCAATAAAGGATAGAAATGCTGCAGAAGAGGATGAAGATGAAGATGAAAAAGTTGATGTGGTGGGGGGAGTCAAGCCAACATCAGTACTGCGACAGACATTTGCAGGGATTCAAGAGGAATTCAATAGTCGATTGGAGAACTTGAACAAGTCATTTGCTCGATCTTTGGATCAAAATATGACTTGCCCTTGAAGCAGGTAAGTTCCTAGTAGCTATGGAAGCCTTAAAAATTGTCTAGAAAAGATGTTTGGGCCAATTGAAACTCAGTCCTTGAGTTTTTTCGTGAATTTTTACACATTTTTGTCTTCCTTCTCCATTTCTTGTGCCAGGTCTAGTTTGTTTTGAGTCAAATCTCTCATTTTCTTTTATAGTACAATGCAGTATTCATACAATGATGAATTATTAATCTGCGTCAGTCTGTCTGTTTGTGCCTCCATTGTCTTTCTTCATACTTGTGTTACTCTTGTCTCTTATTGGACACTAGAAAGCAATGTGCTATAGAGCCCAAAGATCTTTTCTAACCTCTGACAGTTGAAAGGGCTTCCTTGGTCAGCCCTTACTGTTATTTTTTCAATGGTTATAGGCTTGTCTATAGTTTGGACAATTGGGTTATTGAAAGTAGTTATTGTTTCCAAGCAATGCACTCTAGATTTCAACTTCAAGAATATGGAACAACTTAGATATGTAGTGATTGTAACATGCTAGAGATCTTCTTAGTAGTTGTATAGCTGCAGTGTGAAGCTTTGTATATTGCCTTATTTGCTTTTGCCTATTTTAGAGATAAGGTTTGCTAGATTACAATGGAGGTGAAAGGAACCATGAATATCTGTTTCCTTTTTAAGGTAGTGTATAGATTAGGTGTGATTAGCACATAAGGATATTAGAATGTTAGTTTTAAGGATTTTGAGGACTACCTCATTCGATTTATTCACACCCTCTAGATTAGGGTGTGGCAGATACCACATGTACTTCTTAGCTTCGTTCTCAGACCAGCTTTGGACATATTGTCTTCAAAGCACTGAGAACCAGGCACAAAATGCTTCGCTTTGGCAGGGCATTGGGATTCAAATAGAAAATGGGGGAAGACAATCTTGTATTAAACTGTTCAAGGAACATGGAAGGAGAGTTTCCCCAAAATTTTTGGACAGAAATCATCAGTTGTTGTGGAATGATAAAACTGAATATTGATCAAAGGGATCATTGGCTGACTGCGGACTGTCGGGGGTAAAATTGTGTCCGATTTTTCCAATACCACTTGTACTTCTTACTATGCGAGCAAGAATCATTGTTGCTTGCTGCCCTCAAGGGTTATCAGTGCATTCTCTAGTAATTGTGGAACAGTTATTGAGATTGCTCAGTTTATTTTTCATGTATGCCTTCAGTACTTGCCTGTAACAAAATAGCCGACAGCAAAGATTTGGGGTCATTAGAATTAACTTTAACTTTGCCTGCTTGGTTATCTAGAATCAGGTTGGTTGTTCTCAAATACACCTTTTTTTCCTTAAGCTTATTTCAGTCATAAAAGCGTAATGTTTTAGTTGTCTTGTCATTTAGTTTTGTTTTTTATAGTTCAGTTAATTTAATGAATGTATTTTCAGCACCGTCGAGAAATACTGAGTTAAGTTACTTTTTCAGTGACTTTGTTGTAACTATCTCTAAAATAGCCTGCTATGTGTGATAAAATAGCATCTTTGGAGTAAAGAAGTGTAGAGCACAGTTCAATTGTATAGTTTATAATAACTCATTTGTGGCAACTAGTCAGCTAGAATGAACCAGACGGGACAAAATTCATTTCGTGTAAAATCAGGCTCGTAATTTTACCAATCAGTCGTTTATAACAACTATGTTTTTTTTCTTGAATTATGCTATGTAGTCTGTGTTGTTGCTTATTGTATTATAATTGCAAATATACTCATACTTAGAAAGCGACTCGTGTCTTGGCAATGCATAATCGGAGTTTCTTAGACGGGTGAGGTGCGCGTCCAGAACGCGTCTGAAGTGCGGTCTAAACGCGGCCACCGTTGGACGGTTTTGTAAGTTTATAGGTACAGAAGCATCGCATTAATTAGGTACACAGTATGGATATTTTGTTATTGATCTAATTACAGTGAGACTGACTTAAGGGAGTTATTTATCCTCCTCTTATTTAGGTTTTCATTCAACATTTTTGATTAGTTTTTTTTGTTATAGCGTAGTCCTTCCTTTGGCTCTTTGGGAAACGAGTATTCAGAATAAGAAAGCTTTTGTATTTGAGTAGTATTCAGGTGGTCTTTTTTTTCTTGAAATTGTTTGTATGTTAAATTTGGCAGGGTTTTAATCAAAGTAATTTTTCAAGAGTGTTCAGTTCAGTTTGTTTTCTTTTAATTATTTTTCGTTGATTGTTTTTGTAAAATTTTCCATCTTTTGTGGCTACCACCTTCACCTGATTGATCTAGGATTGTATTGTTACCAAACGCTCTGAACAAAGGGAAGGAAAGTAAATATATTTTTAGCAGATATAAGAAAGCAGGCTGCTATATAAAGCCAAGCTGTTGTTTTAACACCACCTAGTGGTCAATCAAGTTCTGAAAAAAAAGCGCATTTATAGTATAGAGTACCGATATTGAACGCAGAGTGCAGACTTCTTTGTAGTGTGTAAGATTCTCCAGTAAAATATATATCCACATGTATCTTCATATACCTCATGTTATAGAAAGAGTAGAGACTATTGTATTGTGGTAAATAAATAAAGCTTCTACCTGAATTTTTTTTTCCTTTCGTTCTTCTTTATTTGTTTTTCCTAAGAAGTTAAGCACAACCTATGCCCATTTGTTGTGAAATTTTCCAGCATTCGTTGTTGACCCTTTTACACCTAAAGAGTGACCAGCAGTTAAATTCTCCTTACTATATCACCTCTGGATCAAACATAAAGGTAATGAGTTTAAAGGTAATGATCACTAACTAAAGAATGTCTTGATTGTCAAACAAATTCTCCTTGTATATAGAACATGGTGGAGAATATGCATACTGATGTTAGGGTGTCAGGAAAGGGTAAAATGAATTTGTTTTCTATCGCCAAGAAAAAGAAGCCCTTTTTCTTTGAAGTCCTTTTATCCCTATCGGAAATGCTGAGGCTCTCTCGCTGTGATATACACAGTACAAATTAGCGAATCTTTGTGGTCTGTTACAACCATCTTTTGGTTACGTTTTTGTATGTGCTCTAACAATTTTCCCACCCACCCACCCACCCTTTACCAAGACAACAAAGGTTACGAAATAGGTATCTCCAGTCATAATGATGACAAAATGATGTTGTAAAACTGGTTTGTGGTAGCAAAAGAATGTGAGCTTATGCGACTAAGGTAGTCACACTGTTTTAGCGCAATTTATATGCGTTATTGACCAAGCGTGAGGTCAAGATGGCTGGATGTAGGCTAAGTTCTTTTTTGCGTTTTATGGACTGAGACGAAATGATAAACAGATCGGACTCCCGCTGTGCGGTTATCCAATTTTGTTGCACTTTCGGAAAATGCAGTTGTTAACTATGAATTCGGGACTGATAGCTTTTTCCAAGGTTTATCACCTATATGGATTAATAGTTAACAACTGCACTTTCCGAAAGTGCAACAAAATTGGATAACCACGCAGCGGGAGTCCGATCTGTTTATCACTTCGTCTCAGTCCATAAAGCGCAAAAAATAACTTGGCCCACATCCAGCCATCTTGACCTCACGCTTGGTCTGAACTGAAGAAAATCCATTCCATATGACTACCAATCACTTCATCACGGATGGTTTGCCAATCTCGAGCCCAGGGTCATTTTAGCTCCTTGTCTGCGGTACGGTCGCCAAATAATAGCATTGTATGGGGAATTATTATGGACATTACTGTATGTATTTAAAGTATAGGACATAATAGGTATTGAGTAGATAATAATTCCTCATACATGGCATACCCTGGGACATTTACATTTTGGCTACCATACCGCTGACAAGGAACCAAAATGACCCTGGGCTCGAGATTGATGCTTTGCTAGCTTTGTGATCTTATGCCAGACTGCTCTGTTTACCGGGTTCATTTTCGAATATGGCGGTGAGTTGAACGACATGCAAACATTGTACTTCTTGGTGCGGCCACGAAATCTAGCTTTCCTTTATTACACCCTCGTTGACAGACTGTCTAAGTTTCCAGTGATGGCCTTTTCAAGTTGTTCAAAGAACAGAGAAAGTCGCGCTGATCAAGATAAGGGACCCATACAATTTTTTTCAGGTTCGAAGTTTCCTTACTGTCAGTTTTCAAACTTTTACGAAGTGGATATCGAGATGGCGGAGGGAGTGTTTCCGTCGGTGGAACATTACTTTCAGGGAATGAAATTCATACCAGAGGACAGAGAACGGTTCACGAAGGGCGGAGAATTCGACAAGAGGAAAGAGAGTAATGCCTCAAACGCCAGAGAGGAAGTGGCGAAAGGGAGATTTGCCAAGTCTGCCGGATCTAAGTCGGGTTCTGCTAAATACAGTTTGACGCTAGCATCTGGTGGTTTAGACCAAGAGGTAGCTAAAAAGAGAATGAAAAGAGCTTTGCAAAAGAAATTTGAACAGGAACCCTTTAGAAGTCTACTTTTGGCAACCAAAGGTGTTCAATTAATCCATATCCCAATGAGGGGTCGAATTGATTTCTGGACAGGGAAAAAAGACAAGAAGACTGGAGAAATTGTTGGTGAGAACACAATGGGAAAAATACTCATGGAAATCAGGGGTATTATACAGGAAAACCGTATTTCCTGGAATAAGCGCCCACACTCTGATGAGTGCCTTCCCCCAAAGAAGCGCCCTAGGTTAGGCCTACCCCCCTAATGTCAAACAAGCACAACTATGAAATAAATGTCCCTCTCTATTTATACCATTTTGAGCTTCAACTACAGTGCAATAAATACAGGAGAATTAATTTGTTTTCTGTTAAGTCTCTTCCAATTAATTTTTTTTCCATGTGCTTACTGTTCCTTTACTTTTTTCCTACTGCCATGCCCTTGGTAAAGGTTTTTAGCTTTCCAGGATCAACTAGAACATTCTTTAGTCTTCAAGCACTGGTATTTTTTTTAGGATAATAAAGTTATTGGGATGCATTTGAAGAAAACAGTGCATTTCTTGATAAAGTACCTTCATTTTAGTAAGTGCCCCTCCTTTTAGTTTAAATGTTAAATAAGTATTAGGGCTATTTAAACATTGGATGGTAAGAAATGATTTTAATTGTAGATATCTTTGAATAAACTACTCTAAATTCAACAAGCCACTCTTTAACTATATAAGCTCCACCCACTCCCCCCCCCCTTGACAGAGCTTTAAGTTTTTATTAAGAGTTCTTCTTTAATGAGCCCCCCTCTTTCCCTTGCTCTTGTATAAAAACCCCAAAATATAGATGCAAGAAAATATAGTAAAGCTTAAATACTGCAAAGTCCATTGTAATACTCCATATAATTATTATGTATTGGGGCTAGGTATTGTTTAAGTGCAAAATGTTAATGTATTTGAAAACCTATTTTAATTTCCATGTAAAGATAATTTGGGGGCTTTTCAAACAGAGAAAGTAGTGCAGTTGAAATGAAAAATGATTATGAGGCTCACCCTCAAGTATTTAACCCTCTCACTCTAAAGATTCAGATAAGAATCCTTCTTAGTGTCTGCTTTACATTTCAAATGACTCAAGCTTAGGGCCGGGTTGTCCAAAGCTGGGTTAAGTGTGAAATCTGATTTCAGAGCTGAAAACTGTAAGAGAAAATTTAGTATAATTCCTTTTTTCAACAATTTCATGATTGGACACTCTAAAAATAAAAAGTAAAATTATTTGAAAAAGGCTTTAGAACAAAGGAATCAAGAAACCTAGATTAAAATTTTAATCCTAGGTTAGCGCTAGTTGGCTATTGATCAATGAGGAGTATTGTTGAATGAAACAATGCATGTACCCTTGGTGGTGTTTTTCCATTCCATCACCTTTCTTCTTGAAAATTAATTGATACTATATGTACAAATAACTGACACAGTTGCTATTCTGAGGAGTGATAGGATAAATAAACTTTCCCTCTCCAATTAGTTGATGAGTTAATAGACCAATTATTTCCATTGTTCTAATTTTTTCTCCTTTGTCTTGAGATTATTGTGTAAGGAAGGGAAAGATTTACAACTGTGAATTATTGTAACAATAATGACTGAAATATAGATTATGAGGTTAATGTTGTCTAATACTGGGAATAAAATGTACTTTGCTTAGCTTGTCATGGCAGATTGGTTAACACATCTGGCTTTACAAGGCATTGGTGCTCCAGTTTTTTACCCATTAGGAATTAGTCCTTTGAAACCTGCCTTTTTCATTGCATCCTTTACATACCTACCCATTGTGCCTGTACATTGTTAAAGCTCCAGATCTGAAAAGAGCTTATCAAGAACAATGATAATCATATATCAGCAAACCTTGAAATTTCACATAAGCAGTGGTGTATCATGCATGCTTCAACACTGCTTATGAGTGCTACTTTATAGCTCATGCCAATCAGTGAGTTTGCTTCTGATGTATAACTGATGGGTTTTAATCACTTTATTTTGCTTTCAAGTTATCTTTAAGATAAGTTTGACTTTGGATTTTACAACTGAAATTGCAATGACTGAGCACTGCATGGTGTGATGGCATGTATCTTTTAAAACACCTCTATTCAAGAGAAAACTTCATACAAGGGATGTTTAGATCCTAACTGAAGAAGAATTCTCTCATAATCCAATTGCCATAAGAGAAACACTTATAATGAGAATGATTTTTCTAGTCTCTATGGGCTTACCCTTGAAAGAGATCCTAGCATGTTACCACACATTTCTGCAAACTGTATGCTGGTATTTTAGAATCCTCTTGCATAATGTCAGCACTTATACCAAGGTATCCATTGCTCATCTTCAGTAATCAGATTGGTCAATTTTTATGAAGCCAACAACAATTTACTGTACAGTCACTATAGATCTTCAACTAGCCTTGTCATCCCTTATTCAAAATCATAATCACTAAAGGAAAGTAAGGATGCTGAAATTAATTAAATCATAACCTGACCCTAAGGCTAACAAAAGAACTTCCTTAGAACAGCTGAAAGAAGGTCTCCTCTCTCTCTGTCATGAAAGGCACTCTCAGCGTTGCGTGACAGGAGATTCAAACACGCGGTAATAGCCTGGGAACAATTTTGTTGAAATGGCGGACGGCAACCTTAGTTATTTTCGTACTTGTTTAGGTTTTTTATTGTGGCTTTTGCAGGCTTCAACTCTTTCATATGGAGGACAAAAACTACGAATGGTTAATTTGGTGAGTATACCTAAGAACTCCCGCCATTTTGATAGGTTGAGTTACCAAGAAGATGCAGGTTTTGCTCGTAATCATGTAATCATGCAAAATTTTTCAGACTTCCCTAAATAGGTTTGTCTGGTCGATAATATGTACACGTGTAACTTTTTTTCCTGTGCTGGTCATCTTTTTCGAAACATGAAAAGATTCCTCTAAACAAATCCGATCAAGTAGAGAAAAAGTCTCCTTACCTTGAAAACGATAGCATATTTAGTAATCTTGTTAAAGAAATGTTTACGTCACCAAATTTTCGTACTATTCACCGGATTTCACTGAAAAATTTCAAGGGAAATCATGAACGAAAGTAACAGTGATGGGCTTTCAACTTAAATGCTTCCGCTACGCTCATTTACTTCCCTATGTTACTTACATTTAAAATAATGGCTGTAGGCAATATATTTGAATGATTTAATAACAACCTGTTAAAAAAAAAAATTAGTCTGCATCATGATTTCGCCTCTCAAAATGTTTTATCTTCAAAAATAAAGGGCTGCCCTTTGATGTTTACTGATTGGAGAGATACAGTATAACACCTATAACTCTAACTCCGAAGGCAAAAATGTGACGTACTGTAATAATTAACAAAGAATCATGTTTTAACCATTTTTGTGCACGATCAACAGTCAAGAGCTTTTGTTATATGTAGAAGGTTTAGTGTAGGAAGTTTAATCAAATGTATAGCATTTTCATAAATGTTAGTACCTGCAAATGAATCATAATTTACGATTGGGACGTGTCAACTCGCCATGGTCTGACAGTTTGATCTTTAGAGACCAACTCGTTTTACTAAGTTCGAGTTGCACAAGAGAGATTTTGACATGCAAAGTTTGTCTTTTAATCAGGTTTATCGACATGGGGACAGATCACCTGTAAGATTTTTTAAATCAGATAAGTATCAAAATTATTGGCCACAAGGAGAAGGACAACTTACTCAGGTTAGTTCCCAGACTTAAAAATGAAAAATGTTTTTTTACAATTTGTATTTTTCACTTGAGGTCCAAAAGGCAAACACCCTAAAAAAAAGCGAATTATAATCATGTAGCATCAAGTTCTTGAGTTAAGAATGTGAGTCCACCTGTGTAAATAGTTTATTTGTGGCAAATTTGAACAATAAGGTTTGTTGGGTGCTATTTAAATTGTCATAAAGTTAATTTTGAGGCAAGTTCAGAGTTGTTAACATAATCTGATTACCATTTTCTCTCTATTTACTGTGAATTATAGATAGGAATGAAACAGGAATATGAACTGGGCAGGTTACTGAAGGATCGTTATGTTGAAAACAACAAGCTCCTGAATTCATCATATCTGTTTAAAGAGGTAGACACCAGTTAATATTCATTTTGTTTTATTTTTTATTTTATATATTAGCTATTACGATAAAAGTACAACAGTTTACAACTAATAGTAAAGGAAAAAAACAGTTTAATAGGGAGGAAAAGTAACAATAATATAATATTTTCAATGAATGATTTGTCGACAATATTTCCAGAGACTGTGGGGTATCTATTGAAAAGAATAGTAGGTGGAAGAAGAAGGCGCAATGCAGGGGTTTTAAACAAAATTAATGTTTGAATGGGATGGTACCTATATCACATAGAGAGGAAAAAAGGATTGTTCAGATGAATTTTTAATAAATTTTTGTACTTCCAGGGACCACTACCCAGGCACCACCTTTTGATGGGAACACTGTGAATTTTTTCTAAATCTATCACACAAGTGATAACTGAAAAAGAAACCTGACTTAGTATTGATTTTGTTTTTCTACCCCTTGTAACAGATCTATGTTCGCAGTAGTGATAGGGATCGCTGTATCATGAGTGCTCAGGCCCAGCTTAATGGTCTTTATCCACCTCATCGAAAACAGGTAAGGTCACCATTGTGAAGTAATGTTCTTGCTTCAGGATTTGCTAAGGGATTTGACTAGTTTTTGAAAACTTGAAAATTATGAAAAACTTAAATAAGTTTCCAAAAGAAGTCTGGACATTTTTTTTGGCTGTGATAAGCACTCACCCCTGAGCCTGAAACACATTCATATCATGATAATAACTAAATGAGTCAGGGAAGTTAAATGGTGCAGTTGAATTGGAGGCTGATGTGGACCTGAATGGTATTATTGCCACAGAGTTCAAGATTTAAGCTTTAAAGGTGTAATGGATTATCATTGCCAGAAAGAAAATTCACTCTTAATGGGAGGTCTCATTAGAATGGAGAAATGATTGGTGTTCTGTTTCTAGATATGGAGGAATGGTCTGGACTGGCAACCAATTGGAGTTCATGTGGTACCAAAGAATGAGGATTATGTAAGTTTTACTCTCTCTGATTGTATTAGAAAAGTTGTTTAAAATTGTTTTCCATCTAGTATTCTTAAATATCCATAATCATTTAGTTTACAACTTTAATGTCTTAAATTAGTTTATTCATGATCATGTATTTTCATTGGAAAAAAAAATTATGAAAGATATATTTTTGCAAGACTTTATCTTTGTGATTTAGCAAGAAAACTGAATTTAAGGGTATAAATTGTAAATTATTAGTGCAACATCAACTGTTACAAAGCAATTTCAAAGTCACATACCCTTTCTTAACTAAGTACATTTTTGGGGTTTACTGTATATCTTGTTCACTTCAACATACCAAAATGTTTTTCCTTTAAGGTTCAAATTTGGCTTGATTGGCTAATTGATATGACTATATTTTATTGGCATGGGACTCAATGTTATCAATGTTTTACCAGTTGTAAAAGTTAAATCTTGGTGACAATTTAGAAAGAACAACTAAAAGGTGGCATGGAATGTATTTAGGGATGTAAATTTTGGAAATTGTAAAGTTGATAGTATAGCAACATTTGTGCTTAAATATCTTCCTAAGGATTCAATTCTTGTTAAAGTAGCCTTACTGATTTCTTCCTTTTTTTAAAATATTGATGTTGATTTGCAGTTTCTGCGGCCATATGATTACAATTGCCCTCGCCTCAGTGAGCTGAGTAAAAATTCTAAACAAGAGGAACAGTACAAAAATATGGCCAAACAAAACAAGGTGAGAAGGATTATCTTTTCATTTCCTTGTAAAAACCTTTTGACAATGGGTTCCTTTTAGTAACCAGGCTATTTTTTTGTTATTTGTCTGTCTGTTTGTTTATCTATCCATCCATCAACTGGTCTATCTATCTGTCAGACTCTCAGTCCATAAATCCATTCATGCCTTGAATTCATCATCTTGAGTCTTGATTCGTCCATCTATTCATTCATCCTTCCATCAATCAATGTGTCCATTTTCTGATCAGAATTTCTTTGTGCCCCCTAGTCTTAATGCATAGCAGTGTGCAATTATGAAGAATAATGTATACATTATAACATGTATTGAGGATGATTTGCCAACATTACCTTGGCAATTTCTGTTTAAACACAGGAGGTACTAGCTTATATATCAGCACATGCTCAGCAAAATGTAACTCTAGACAATGTTTGGGGAATCTATGACACACTTTTCTGTGAGGTATTTATTGGCATTTTTGTTTTAATTAATATGCCAAATTATGATGTATTATTTGACCTTTGTTTATTTAATGGTCAGTAGTTTCTTTCAGCATCATCCACCTGCATTTGACTTGACTGTATTAGTGCAGTTTTCTGTTTTCAGTTTTAAGTATGTTAATGTGTACTTAATGTATACAGAAATTTACATAGTTGATTTTATTAAGTTTTTATTGTATTATAACTCATTAATTCAGTAAGTTACTGCAAGAGAGTTTAATAAACTGTTATTATTATAAATAAAATTTATTTTAACCTCTGTGTTGCATGTAACCTTTGTTTAAAATTGGTAATTATTTATTTAAATTTTATCAAATGTTTGTCTCTAGCTTCCAGAGGAATTGAACCTGGTTTTAGTTTTCTTGTTTCGCATTGAAATGGTACATACTAAAAGTTATGGGAAATTTTTTGTGAAGATAGGCCATCTGCTGGACAAGTTTAATTAGGTTTTCCAGTCTTGGTTTCTGGTTTTTTTTATTATTGGTTTTGTTTGTTTTTTTTTTAATTTAGAAATCACATAACCTGACACTTCCTTCTTGGGCTACAAATGGCACAACTTGGGAATCCCTCAGGAATTTGAGTGAATTTGAAATGACATCATTATTCAACTCTCCAGAGAAAGCTAAATTGACGGGAGGTTTGTCACACTTTCTTAATTTTTCGTTTTATTGTTTTATTGAAATGAATCAGTGAAAAGTGAGAATCAGTTGATCATTCAATGAAAGCAGCCAATTGAAATTTGAGAAGCCATTGCTATGTTTGCAGCATTTCTGCCATGTTTTATTTTTTTGTATAATGCAAAGCAGGTTGGAACCTATTTACGCAGGCCCAATACACAACACTTTCCTTTCATGTATTTTGAAAACTCACATGGCAAGATTTTTCAACTTCTTGCCAGCTTCACTTGAAGGTGTATTTTCATTGAGGGAAAATTTAAAAGCTTAATTAAACTTTTAGAAGGTTGCATGATTGATGAGAATGTTTTTGTTGTTTAACTGTCATTTTTTCAGGTTTTATTTTCTCAATGCCCTCTAAAGGGATAATAATAGTAATAAAGTTTATGTTCTCACCCCTTGCCAAATGGCTTCTGCTGTAATGAGTCTGAGTCTGACCCAAAACATATTTATGCTAGCAAACATGAAGTCTACTGTTATATTTTCGTAATATTATTCAGAGTTGAAACTCTTTCCAAGTACATTTTCAGTAATGTATTGTTGTTGGAGCATAATGAATGGTATTTTGTTTGTCTCTGTTCTCGTAAACAAGAGTATATAAAAACATTGTTTAAAACTCTATTAGACAAAAACATGAGGATAATACAGTTTAAAACATAACTTAGACACAACGTGCACTCTGAATGGTCAAACATCTATTGTATATTTGCTTGTAAACCCATAGCAAACAGAAACATCTTCCTTTCCTGCGAGGTGGCACCACATGAGGTGAATTCCCAGATCTAAATTTATAAAAAGCCTTTGGTTTGGTTGAAATGAAAAGGACACTTTGAATGCCAGAGCAACAAAAAATATTTTATTTTTCTTGGGATTTTTATTTTAATCTTTTATTTTTCATGGGATGTTGAACTAACTTTTCTTGTGTTCTCCCAACATCCCAAGTGGTTTATTAGCCAGTAAAGATTTTTCTCTGTCATATTTTATAGGAAGTTTAGTGGGTGCCATTATCAAGAACATGCAAGGTTACCTTAAATCAGATAGCAAAAAAATGTACATTTACTCTGCTGTAAGTAATTTGATCTTTATTTATTTGTATTTTACATGGAATGATTCCATTTAATTCCCTGCGACACCTTATTCTTTGTTTGATCACTATTTTATAGACAAAGTTAGAGAGGTTCTCAAACAATATGGACCATACAAGGTTCTTTGTCTGTTCAAGAAAGAAACAGAGTGAAACAGAATGTTGTGTAAATGAAATAATGTATTTAATAATTCATCATACAACCATGTAGTTCATGTGACTAAGAAGTTTAAAAGGTGCTGACCCTGGTGCTGAAAAGCAAATGAAAGTAAAGATGAAAAAGAAAGTATCAAAACCTTAAAAGCACACAGAAATTTGAAGTTAGGCTTAATTTAGCATTTAATATTTGAGAAATGCGCTTTCTGCAGCTGTTGTTTGATATGTGATTGGTACGGCAATACCTTTTCATTAAGTCTGCTCAGCAGTCTTCGTTTGTCTTCGTCACGCAACACGATACCTCATCCGTCAGCTGGGAATGAATTGCGTGACAGGTAGTAGCATTTTATGTGACAAGCCCAAATAAGGAGACATGTGTTATGAGAAACTATCCAGTTTTTTTGTTTGTTTGTCTCTTTTGCGTGCGTGTGTGCGTGTGTGTTCATAGCAATTATCATTGTAAGGGTAGAACTAATCCTGAATTTGATTGGTTTCATTTTGTTATGAGTTCTGTGATTGGTCTAGAAATCTCGTCCTATCTCGTCTCAACCAATCACATGCAAAACTAAAACCAATCACGACTTGGCCAATCACCACGTAGCCTATGAGCGGGCCCTCATTTTTTCAGCGCTGCTGGACGCTCGTTTCTCCGCCCGCTGTTAGTGCCAGGGGTCTGGCACTAACAGTTATCAGTGTTAAACCGCTTGCAGACCTCACGACTTGGCCAATCACCACGTAGCCTATGAGCAGGCCCTCATTTTTTCAGCGCCGCTGGACGCTCGTTTCTCCGCCCCCTGTTAGTGCCAGGGGTCTGGCACTAACAGTTATCAGTGTTAAACCGCTTGCAGACCTCACGCTGGCTTGCATGCTCAAGGTCTCCAACTTTCCCGCGAGCAAAGTGCCGAAGCGCTAATATAATGCGGTGTTCATTGCGCTTCAGGCAAATCCCTGAGATGTACTTCTTTATTCTGATAATTTAGCTTTGGCTTCAGACCACTCAATCTAAAAGCGTTTTAAACCATCACATGTCACTTTTATTAGCGTCAATCCCTTATCAACAAGTTTATCTGGTGTAAAGTGCCTTGCTATCATGGCAGTTTTAACTCGTACACATAATTCACCTTGATCTTACCATGTTGTTTGTCTGTGAACGTTACAGCATGACACTACAGTGGCTGCTTTGCTGAGTGCCCTGAATATTTATGATGGGATCCAGCCGGCTTACTCCAGTGCAGTCATCATCGAACTCTTCTCAGATGAAAATGATGCTAAGTAAGTGAGGCACGAAATTCTTCCGAAAATTTCAATTGCTGAGGTTAGAAATGTGTTAACTAACGAAAGGAAAAAGATCTCGCATCTTCAACACACATCAGATTCACCGTGAAATAACTTTAAAATCGTGCTAGTGCGATATGTGTTTTGATCTTTGCACCTCTTCGTCGATCTGCTATTTTTCAACATGAAATTGTCGTGCAGACCTCGTAAAGCAAAGTACCGTAATTCATCCGATTGGTCTCAAATCTTCGCGCGGGCAGAGAAAAGCGCGTTCTGCAGCGCTCATACGAGGGCCAAACCGTTGGCTACAAGATGATAGCCGTGACAAACTTAACTTGAGGATCCATTCATTACTTTTACTTATCGATACTAGCTATCAATTGTAACAAGAGAACATTTAGTTATTCTTTCTCAGAAGCGACTAATAAAGAAGGACCATATGTGATAACTGTGGTAATTTTCCTTGTATTTTCTTTCGCAGGAAAAATGCGACGGTTCGTATAATGTATCGATTTGGCCAAAGCAAAGATCCAAAGGCTCTCAAGTTGCCAAACTGTCCACAAGATTGCCCTATGAATGACTTCATCAAGTAAGTGGTTCACCGTCCAAGTCAGCCTGAAGAGAAGCTGTAACTTAGAATTCCTTTATTTTGTGGTTACAAAGTGCTTCATAATCCATGTGTGTTTGGACAGTATGAATTACTTCAGGAATAACGTTTGTTCTCTTGTATAGAGGGTACTTGGAAATATTTCAATTTATCACTTTTTAACGTCGACTGTGTATTTCATTTTCTTAATCAGAGCGACTTCGGATGTTGTTCCTGATGATATCGACAAGGCTTGTGGAAAAACAGCCACAAAACCAGCTGAAGAGAAGTGCGTCCAGACCTTTATATACAAGAGTAAGTTTCTTTGTCTTTTACTGTTGTCGAGCTCATAAACGCTCTTGTTTTGAATTCGATTCTCGTCAGTAAGAGTTGCAGACAAGGCATAATAGAGTTGATTACAAATGTTTTTACGTTATGTGTGTGTAAAGCAAACCGCTTGAACGCGAGTGTCTTTCATGATTTATGGACACGATAGATGTTTGAAAGGTTTAAAAACTGTACGAGTTGTAGGTGAGTACAAAACCCATCCTGTTGACCATGAATAACGAAGTATGCGAGTATTTCATGCTATGTTCCATTATATTTTCAACAAAATTATAGAATGTGACATCAAGCCTTGTCGCTGACCAGAAAGGAGATGCTTTGTGGATTATTTTCATATCATTAGCCTTTCTATTAAGCCACGTGGGTCATTAAGAATCCCGTTAAACCACCCATCAACACCTTCGATGACTATGCGCAATAATAAAAGCAGTCTTAGTTCTCCTTGCAATCACCAATGTTTTTATAGAAGGACCGATCGTAAAAATCTTATTGCACTTGTTAATAACGATCTGCGAATGTTGGACCACACAGTAATGTATCCCATCTTCCTATATCTCTCAGTAAGTGCGTGCGCTATGCCATGATCAATCAATTTAGTTTACAGAATAGACCTCGAACTTGATTAGTAAGAAATATTTCTTCGGAAAAACCTTTTACCACGTGAGATTCATCACCCTGAGCTACCATACACTTTAGTAAGGAGGTTTTATAACAATTTTTTTGTCTTGCAGGTTTCTTGGCAGCCTTCATTTCAGTCACTGTTGTGTTGGCTCTTCTTGTGTTCTGTTTGTGCGTCAGGTGCTGTCGCAAGCGATGCCGAGGAAATAACATCACTGTGTACAATACCGATCTGCTTAAAGACGCTCGGCTTTTGGACAGACCAGATTATGATTCAGATACCTGAGCTGTCTTCCATTTCCAGTCACTTTTATATTGTTTAAAATTTTTTTGCCCATAGCCATCTAGAAGTCTCTTTAAAGGACACATGTCCTTTTAAGGACTAACCCTCGCTAGAACGATCATCTTACGCAATCCGGCGGCTGTTTCTACCGGATTTAAACCATTTACGGTAATAATTTCTTCAAAAACCTACATGATTATTTTGATAGATTTGTTTTTCCTTCACGAGTCGCCTGAGTTGCGCTTAACCGAGGATCATGTGCATAACCATCCTTGTTGCTACAAATTTCCTTGTAAATTAACAAAGGCAATGTCGTGTTATATCCAAGTAACACACCTGATTATATAAATTTGTCGAATGTAATGACTTTTCCACTGGATAATGTACTTATATTGAAAGGAAAAAATGTAGGCTGATAACGATTAAGACTTTTTAGTGTTGACGGGGTTCCACTGTTATGAGTTAGTCCGAGTAAAGATTGTCGGAAAATCAACCAATTCTTTGCAAACTTGACAAACAAGACGAACTTCGTATCAAATAGTAACGTGACAGGTAAAGAAAAGTACAGGGGAAAAAGAACAAATCTGAATCATTCCTTTAATCTGCTTTCGATTGTGGCGTTAAATTTTTCATTGCGTGTCATATTTGTAAGATATATCAATGTAGGATGAGGTGTGGATATTTTGCAGGGGGTTCAATGTGTTCTTACTATAAAAATGGGTCGGATAATACATACACTAGTTTTACTCCCAATTTAGTAGGTTTTGTTCTTCACCATGAATGACATTAATCACTTTATTCTCTCTTATTGATATTTATGAATTATGAAAATTTGGTTTGCATCCTACAATATTGTTTCACACTTTGCAAACGGTGTTGCGTTTGTAGCATTGTTTTACTCCCAATGTAGTAGGTTTTGTTTTTCACTATTAATGACATTAATCACTTTATTCTCTCTTATTGATATTTATTAATTAGGAAAGTTTTGGTTTGCACTTTACAATTTTGTTTTACGCTTTCCAAACAGTGTAGCGTTTATGAGTTATTATTTCAAATGGAATCGATACAATGAATTCAGCAGCTATATTTTTAGAACTTTAAATAATTTAAGTAGGTAGGAAATGGTATTTTTATCGCTTATCACAAGCCACAATGAACTTTGAAATAAACTGAATATTACTGCGGTGTTCACCTCTATTTTGGATGAAAGTGTCATCACTTTTACAATTGACGAATTAGCTGGATTGAAAAGAAACATTAAATTTGCCGAAGGAGACTTCCCTTTTAGCGTCTGCCGTGAATTCAACTGGCGAATATACGAATATAATTTTGTAAAGAAATTCAGCATATCGCTAGTGGACATCTTTTGCTATTGCCTTAATCTTTGAAATTATTCGTCTTTTATGCGATTGGTTTACATTTTTCTCTTGAGTAAATTTTTACAGTACAGTATGAGAGCGTAAACTTGATCTTCAGTCTGCAAGCAGGCGTCACAAAGAACTAGGCCAGCGAACAAGGTCTCTGACACAGCTAAGTAATATATCAACTTGATTTCAGTACTTTCCGCTGGCGCTGCTTATTTTCAAAACTTGTTTCCGACGGTTGAGGCAATGTAAACATAAGAGCTGGTAGAATTGAAGGCCAACAAGATCATTGGTTCTAGAAAACCGTGGCGAAGTAACTGTGTTTGGTAGACGTGTGTCTGCTTTGCTGTTATATTGGGGACATGGATCACCACTGGCACTAACAGAAAAATAGAATGGGCGCAAGGCACGCATATGTAAGAGAGGTGAACATACGGTTTTATTTCTTTGGTTATACATATTTTAAATTGAGAAGTCAATCTGAGTAAACGTATTTAAAATGAAAATCACAAATCAAACAGGGAATTGTAAAAAAAAATTGAAGAAACCAGCTAAGTAGTGAGGTGATATGGTCTACATGCAATCGATTGGTGACAGTTCTCTACATAAACCACTGGAAAACGGCCTGGCCGGCTATGATTGGTCTTAAACCATATTGAATGCATAATGAAACGTTTCGACGCAACCTTTGATAAAGCTTCTTGGAATCAAAGCAAGTTTAATACTGATTTATCTTAGTTCTGTTTTTTGTTTTTGATTGTTTTATAAACCCGTGAACGACGTTAAAATGATCGTTTCTTAAAACAAGTCACACCAAGAAATTAAACGCTCAATTCTTCGTTTGAATGGACTTATGCAAGAAAAAGAAAGACAAATAGAACTCCTTGCAGTCTGGTATTATTAAGTGCAGATATCAAAGGATCCTTTACAATAGCCTTCTGTGGTATTAAGTTCCAAATCACAAAAACCATAGGGTGAATGTTTTTATGAATGATACTTGTCTGATAGAAAGCCTACAAGGCCGCTCTCAAGCCCCTAGCAAGTGCTTAAACCACTAATAATTCACGAACTTAGAAAAAGTGATAAGAAAAATAATTGCATCTCGCACCTGCAGTAGTCGCTTTGTTTGTTGGCAGTACGCTAAGAGCTCCTACCGGCGAGTAAGTTGTTACATACGCCGTAGACAGTTGGACGTTCGGTGTCAAGGTTTCTATGGAGCGAATAAATATTTAGCACTCCATTATTGCTAATTTGCAAGAAACGAACGCAGGTCAATTGCTGAACTAAAGGCTTGAGCGAGCGCGGTGGAATGGCGGATAGCACAAGAACAGTCTTAATCGCAGTCGACGAGTGCGAACACAGTGAGAGAGCTTTTGAATGTGAGTAAGAGAAACCTGTCCTAATTCCTTCACATAAAAATGATGTTTCCCCATTTTTTTGAGACGAAATACGTAAAAAAAATATATAATTGAGGTTTTCTTCCGTTTTGTTTTGGTAGAGACAAAGTGATTTAATCTTCTTCTTTGGTTGTCAATAGGTTCGTGCCCGCTAGCCTAAAGGAAAAAAATGAAAGAAAGAGAATGAATTAAAATCGGAAATTTCATCGAAACACGAGTTAAAGATGACGGAAGCGTTTGCTTCAGATTTGACGACGGCGTCAGTTTTGCAGTATTAAAAATAACCACAAAGGCGTCTTTCTCTGAAATTCATATGACTTACCATGGCCTTCAATTCCGAATTGAACTAAAAATGATTCAAGAATAACTTAAATATCGTTTTAAACGTTGAGAAAAGATTCCCATGTAAAAACCGCATAACAAGAAACTCAATTGAATAATTTTAGCAGTTTTCACCGGCAGATGTGCTTGTCGTAGATACAGACTGATATAAGTAATATGATATCGCAAATTTCGAACTTAATTTGGAAAAAGGCCAAAATTCAGTTTCGTTTTTTCGGTTTAGAAGAAATGGAGTTTGATGATGCAGTCCAATTTAATCAAAACAGGATGCTTTTAGCGTCGCTTGAAACGAAGACAAATTCTGGCCAACAGTGTTGCCATAAAAAGACTTAAAATTGTTATATTCAAACGGAAATTGAAATCAACAGTTTTACATTGTGTTATGTTTCTTTATGTAATCGTTCTTGCACTATACGCAGCTAACAAGAGAGAGTATTCTTGGAATTCTGAGGCTATTGTCTCAACTAAAAAAAGGAAAACAAAAAATTAATCGAAGGTCTATGCATTATTTTCTCCAACCCTCTGTTATCAAATGTTTGATAACAGATGGTGTCTCCTGAGTCTCCTGATTATGTTTTATCGCAACTTAGCTGTGTTGTTTGGTCAACACCCGTCTTCACTTTGCTCATAAATGGAGCTTTAATACGAAAATATCTGAGTGTTTTTGAAGATTTTTACCGGAAAAATGCCCAAATTAACGATTTTGGCAACGTTATCAGTGAAAATTATGTATGAAATAAGCGGTAATGTCGGTTCCCTCGAGGTGACACCGGTCAGGTAAAATCAGTCTTTGCACACGATAAATAATTTACAGGGCAGATTTCAGCTGAGATTGCAATGAATTGCGGTTTGTCTTTCCACTGGTTCTCTTTATATTATTTTATTTCCTTCATTGATTATGTCATGCCAATTAGCTTTGGCTACTAATATAGAGATGTACAAAAAGCTTACCGTCTATTACCTTCATATCCGATATGAAAGTCGTGAATCAGTTTTTAAGTCGTATCAATAAAGAAGGCTGTAGAAAATGTAAAAAGGCCTATCACTCGTCGGCAATCTGGGTTTCAATTGAAGAAGGATTTGACTGTCACAACTTGACGATTCAATAAGCATGCTGAGGTTTACAAAATCTCATCAGACCTTCGGCAGGTTTCATTTTTTACATCAATTTTGGGGACAATTTGTGGTACGTTGTGAAGAAGACAGATTTATTCAAGACATGTGCTTTTTTGGTCCACCTCTTGCCCACTTTCATAATAAACTCAACGAGAAGAGCTGGCCACGAGGCCTGGGTTCGAGCGTGATATGTTATATCAGGGTCATTACTTCTGACCTTTCGGTGAAATAAAAATACGCAGTTAACTATTAATTTCTCTCCTTTAAAGTTATACTCCGACTATGTTCAGTTTTTAAGTTTCTTGCTCCCAACCGACACATTTAGTTTCAGAGGTAAAACTTCTTTGTTCATGTCTGCAGGGTATTTGAATCATGTTCATCAGCCAGAGAACTCACTGATCGTGCTGTACTGTCACGAGAAGCTTGATCCTCCAGCATTGTTGCGTAAGTTGAGGTGTCTTAGCTGTTTTTACCTCGGTATCTGATTCCGTTCAACCCTCCAATTTTATATAAAGTCGCTGAAAAATGACAATTTTTGAAAAGTTTGGAACCCTGAGAAAACAAAAGTATGAAGTTTTTTTCCTTGTGAGAAACTAACATTTCCCTTTACTTCACGCTCGTTACGATTAAATAACGTCTTTCCTTAATCAATTTTAAGTTCTTGAGTTACAAAATTCAGTTTTTGCCAGAAGTGCACATTGATTCCACTTAACTTTAATTCTCGTTTGCTGATCTTTTCCGCATCTTCATAATTTGAAGCCAAGCCATTTTGTTCAAAAATAAAATGCAGATCTTAATTTTTCTTTTTCAAGACTAATGAAAGACTTGCAGGGCTATCTCTACATCGAGGGTGCAGCATATCGCCTGAATTGTATACCTAGTCATTTTCATGAAATGCGCAAATTTGTTTTTCTCTTCGGGGGAGCTGGTTCTCAGTTTATGAAACGGCTATGAGGTGCTTGAGAATTTTCACTTTCTCCTTTAATTTTCTGGGACAATGGCCTTTTGGTATTCCAAAATCTCACACATAATTGCCTACTTATAACTTGCAGATTCAGCACATTCCGAAGAATGGAAACAAACTTTAAAAGAACACGACGAGAAAAAAGACAGGGTAATCGAGAAGTACAAACACAAATGCGAGGAGAGAAGGGTAAAGCGTGACAATAATACTAAATATTGTAAGGTATCTTGACCTTATTTCACATTTTTCTAAAAGGGCAACGACATGCACATTAGTATTGTTTTCTTTCCGTTCTTTTGCTCCAGCTAAAGGCAAAAATCAAGGTAGAAGCTGGAAAACCCGGCGAGACTATTCACAGAATAGCTGACCAGCAGAAGGTTACTTGTATTGTGATGGGAGGCCGCGGGATGTCAACACTACGGCGCACATTATTAGGTGGAGTCAGTGATTACGTCATCAAGCACACTCAGATCCCTGTTATCTTTATACCGGGTCAGCAGTGAATGACGGGGGCTTGGAAACGAATTATTCCGCTGCCTCGTGTATCGTTGTCATAACTTCCCATCAGAAGGTGTAACGCATTAAATGAAAAGTTTAAACCATAAAATGTACACTTGGGTGTAACTTGGATTTTGCACTTACAAGGTAGATTAAAAATGTTCACAGACAACGGGAAAGTTGAAAGTTTGCTGTTTACTTACTTATATCACCGTTGATTATAATTTTCCTCATTTTCCGGGGCGTTGATCAAAATCCGTGAATGACTGCCACTTGGTACCAAAGTAGAAAGATCCTATTTTTGCATTTTGGTGTAGACAGTGGATTTGGAAGCAGGAAACACCTCTGCCATTTATGGTATCTATAAAAGAAGTAAAAGTACTCTACGACTGAAAAATGTTGCCCCTCCTCTTCCTCTGTGTGTTGAAAATCTTAGAGGATGTTTGTAGACAGAAAAGAAAGGAGGCTAGCTTTGCTTAACAACTGTTCATCAGATAACTCGCGCGCAGCATCGTT